AGTAAAGACAACTTCATTTTTGTAACTAAAGAACAAAAACAATATGTATTACAACGTAATAAAAGCTTATTTCATTTGTTCGAACCTGTTATTTAAATTATTTTTTGTTTTGTGAAATACATATGTATTTAAAATATTTTATTTACTTATATACACACATACTATATAAATAAATATTATACTTTGTATTAGCTTTTAACTTTTAATCGCTTTACTAGTTGCTGATCGACTTTTAAGCGTGTAGTTTCCAGAAATAATAGAAATTTATATGTTTGTCATTGAATCCTATTTGCCATAAATTTTTTTTTTATGAGATAAATATAATACCTCAAAGTCCATTATGGACTTCGATATGCATATGGATAGGTCCTTTGAAGCGGCATAACAGAAATGTATATGTTTGTCCTTAAATTCTATTTGCTAAAAAATTTCTTCTTTAAGTCAAATATAATATCTTAAAGTCCATTATAGACTTCGGCATGGCTCTCCATGTTCTTTGAAGCGAAATAATAGAAATTTATAACCATGTCATTGAATCTTATTTTTAATAAAATTTCAAATATATTGACTTTGACCTACAAAGTCAATTGCCGGTAGGATTTTAAATGCATAGTTAATATGAAACTTATTTATCTATATATGTTTTTTAAAGTTTTCAGTTTTATTTCTTTCTGATAATGGCACAAACGACACATATAATTACGTTGAAATGTTTGTTCCTTACTTGTATATCATCTTTTATCATTAAGTTAATACCATTTTACCAAAATACTTTGGTCCATTAGTTACTTAGTACGTTTATCCTAGTAATATATAATATAATATAATATAATATAATATAATATTATATAATATAATATAATATAATATAATATAAAATATGGTATAATAATGTATAAAATAAATAATAATGTAAAATAATAAAATAAAATAAAATATATTAAAATTAAATATAATAATATAAAATAAAATATAATAATATAAAATAAAATATAATAATATAAAATAAAATATAATAATATAAAATAAAATATAATAATAAATTAAAAAAAAAATATAATAATAAATTTAAATAAAACATAATATAATAATAAATTTAAATAAAACATAATATAATAATAAATTAAAATAAAATAGGATAACAAATTAAAATAAAATATAATAATAAATTAAAATAAAATACAATAATAAATGAAAATAAAATATAATT